CAGCTCGCCAAGTTGCCCAGGCGGGTCTCGAACCCGCGGGCTCAGGCCATCCACTCACCTCAGCCTCCCAAAGCTGAGCCACTGAGCCCGGCGTGTTTCTGTTTTAATAGTGCTTTTCATTAATTTATTTCTCCATTAAATTAAAAAAAATTCCATTGACTCTCTTAGTCTCTTTTCTCTCCCATCATTTGTAATATTTTCCTAGGATTGTTTCCTAGGATTGTTTGCCAGAAATAGGATTACTGGGCTAAATCATGAACTTTTGTACATGTCCCCTTTCTCCCCCTTTCAATCTTTTAATAGCATTATTGAGGTAAAATCTGCAAACATAAAATTCGCCCATTTTAAGTGTACAATCCAATGATTTTTAATAAATTGCTAGAGTTGTGCGGTCAGCGCTACAACCCAGTTTCAGAACATTTCCATCAGCCCCAAGGTATCACTAATACCCATTTACAGTCAATCCCCAGCCCCATCTCAAACTCCTGGCCATAAACCATCCTCCTGCCTTGACTCCCTAAAGCACTGGGATTATAGGCTGCGCCCGGCCCATTTTTCTAGCGCATTGCTAGTTTTTTTCATATTCATTTGTGTTAAGTTCTTTATACGTTCTGGATGCATTTCTACTTCTGTTTCTATTGGTCCAGGCCCTTTGAAAACAGCTTATTAAGTGGTTTTTTTTGAGACAGGGTCTTATTCTGCCTACTACAGTGTTGTGATCTGGCTCACTGTGGCCTCAGCCTCCTGGGTTCAAGTGATTCTCCAGCCTCAGCCTACTGAATCTCTGGGACTACAGGCATGAACCACCAAACCCTACTGATTTTTAAAAATATTTGTAGAGACCGGAGTCTTGCTGTGTTGCCCAGGCTGGTCTCAAATTCCTGGCTTCAAGCAATCCTACCTCGGTCTCCCAAAGTGCTGGGATTACATGCATGAGCCACCATGCTTGGGTATTAAGTGTTTTAAATGGGCAATGATCTTTTTTCTGAAGCAGATGAGAGGAAAAAAATTAACATAAATAGGTAACGAAAACCATTTGGTTTGAACATCCAAAAGTTCAAAAAGTATTCAGTGAAATGCCTCTCTTTTTGCTGAACCACACAGCCAAATTTCTATCTCACTCGCCCAGGTAACCATGGTAACCTTCCAGCGAGTATTTTTATATTGCATGTCCATAACCTTACAAATTTTTGCTATATTTCAAATATGCAAATAAAAATATAACAAATACATACATACATACCAAACAGCTATATGAGTGGACTGCATTTTGGTTTATTAACTTTTTTCTTTTTCTTTTCTTTCTTTTTTTTTTTTTTTGAGTTGGAATCTCACTCTGTAGCCCAGGTTGGAGCGCAGTGGCTGTGAACGGCCACTGCAGCCTCAGCCTGCTGGGTTCAGGTGATCCTTCTGCTTCAGCCTTCCAAGTAGCTGGAACTACAGGCGTGTGCCACCATGCCCAGCTAATTTTTTAATTTATGTAGAGACAAGGTCTCGCCATGTTGCCCAGGCTGGTCTTGAACCCCTGCGTTTATCCTCTCGCCTCCACCTCCCAAAGTGCTGGGATTAAAGGCGTGAGCTACTGTGCCCAGCATTTTTTTCTTTTTTTAAGACTAAAATCTGATAATATAGTTGAAGCCCGTCTATACCATCCACCACCTAATTTACCTCCCTTCTTCCCTCCTCAGATGTAATTACTTTTCTGAATTTTGCGTTTATCATTTACCAGGTCTATCCATTGGGTGAGGTACCTGGGATGGCCATCTTGAGCTCATAATATGTGTGTACTGTTTTGCATATTTTCAATCTTTTCATAAATGAATACATTATACAGTGCTTGCCATTCTGTAACTTGCCTTTATCGCTCAATGTAGTTTTTGTGACTTACCTATTTTTATACATGTAACTGTAGTTCATTCATTTTAACCACTGTACAATATTTTCTATAGGGAAGATTTATTTATTTATTTACCAACTGGGGGACATTTACAATGCTTTTATTGCCATTATTAATAATACTGCAATAAACATTTACCCATGTCTTCTTGGCAGATGTACTAGAGCTTCTTTAGAGTATGTACCTGAGTGGAATGACCCAGTCGCAGGCTTGAATGTGACTTTAGTAGGTGGTGCCAATTTGCTCTGCAGTGAGTGTAACAGATTTACTCTCCCAATACTGATGTGTCAGGATTCTCATTGGTCTACTTTCTTAACAATCCCGTGCCCATCAGACTTCTTAATTATACAGGTAGCTCTCAAACGGCAGTTCCTGTATATATGATTCAGTCAACATGGCAACTTGCAAAGTAAGGACAGTCCAAATGCAAAATGGATGAGTCTGAAAAGATATAGAAAGGTACCTGATCCCAAACCGGGCGAAGTGAGATCAGTGGGAGGCCCAAACTTCACCTGGATGATGACCACTTTTGTACCTAATCCTAAATTATACCCCACATCTTTAAAATTAAAAAACAAACATAAAAAATTGAAATAAAAAACAAAAAAGAAAAGATGTATCTGTCTTTTGGAGTCTTACTCTGTCGCCCAGGCTGGAGTGCAGTGGCACGCTCACGGCCACAGCAGCCTCAACCTGCTGGGCTCAGGCGATCCTTCCACCTCAGCCTTCCAAGTAGCTGGAACTACAGGCGTGTGCTACTATGCCCGGCTTATTTTTTTGATTTATCACCAAGTTGCCCAGGCTGGTCTTGAACCCCCGGGCTCAGGCAATCCTCTCTCTTCAGCCTCCCAAAGTGCTGGGATTACAGGCTGAGCCACAGCGCCCGGTCAGTTTTTTTTAAAAATTAAAAATAATGTGAATTAGGAAAAAGCCTGGCTTTTTATATAGGAACTCCCACCATCCGAAATCTCTGAATTGCCTTAATGCTCTTTGCCCATTTTTCTTTATTCTTTTTTAAAGAGACAGGGTCTCACTCTGTCGTTCAGGCAGGTATGCAGTGGTACAATCATAGCTCATTGTTATATCAAACTCCTGGGTTCAAGTGATCCTCTTGCTTCAGGCTCCTGAGTAGCTAGGGCTACAGGCATGTCACCATGTCAGGCTAATTTTTTTAGGAGTTTTGTAGAGATGGGGGTCTCACTCGAGACCAGTTGGTCTCAAACTCCTGGCCTCAAGTCATCCTCCTGTGTTGGCTCCCTAAAGTTCTGGGATCACAGGTATAAGCCACTGTGCCCGGTTCATTTTTCTATTACATCGTTAGTCTTTCTTATATTCATTTGTGTTAAGTTCCTTATACATTCTAAATGCATAGCCTTCTTTATTATCTGCATTGCAAGTATCTTTGTTCAATCCATGGCTTGTCATTAAGCTTTGTATATGATGTCTTCTGTTAAATGTAAATTTTAATTTTAATGTGGTTAGATTAACCAGTCTTCTTCTTCATGGTTTTTGCTTTTTGACTCTAACTAATTTCTTTCCTACTCTTAAGGCCATAAAGATTTTCTTCTGTATATTGTTTTCAAAGTTTAAAAGTATTTCTTTTTACAATTAGGTTTTATGTATGGCATGAGGTAGGAATTTAGTATATTTTTTTCCCACATGGATAATCAATTGTAGTAAAATAATTTCCATATATGCATCTATTTCAGGTTTTGCTAGTCTGTTTCATTGGTCTATTTTGTACACCTCCAACAATAACTTTATAGGGACTCAATAGCAGGTTTGCAAGATCCTTTACCTTGTTAATCTTCTTTCAAATTGTTTTAACTATTCTTGTCCAATTTGTCTTCCAAATGAATTTTAAGACCATTTTTCACTAAAAACCCTGTTGGTATTTTTGAGCCAAATTTCACTGATCTTACACATTAAATGACTAGGACAACTGACAGTGTTTTCTGTCCATTTATTTGTATCCTTTTGCGTTCTTCTTGTTCTTCTCCCACTTCTGTTGTTTAATTATTTCATAGGCACCTTACAGTTTTGCTGCTATTTTAATCTTATTTTCTATTACATTTTCTAAAATTTATCTGGGATATAAAAATGCTATCAGTTTTTGCATGTTGATTTTATATTTAATCATATGGCTAAATGAGTCTTTGATCTTATAGTTTGTTGAATCTCTTGGATTTTATGTAAAGCAATCATCTTACTGGCAGATAAGGACATTTTTGTGTCTTCCTTTTAAAACTTTATATCTCTCAATTATTTTTCTTACCTTACTGCATAGGTTAGACCTTTAATGCATTACTAAACAGAAGCAATCATTAAAGTGATTATCTTTTTGGTTCTGACTTGAATGGGAATTCTTCTAAAGTTTCAAATGAAGTATGATATTTGTTGTAAGATTTTGATAGATAGATTAATTCAGTAATAGAATGCAGTATATTGTCTCTGACTTTTTACTAGGATTATCAGATACAGATATACCTGCATGTGTGTGTATATATATTTACATGTGTGCATTTAGAAAAATGAAATCATGCTCTACATAATGGTATAAAACTGTTCTTTCCTCTTGACAAGATTTCACAGATATCTTTCTAAGTCATTTTAAAGAATGGTTACGTAATATTCCATTGTATGAAATTCAGAAGTTTTAAATTTTTAGGTAGACGTGTCTATCTTTTGGAAAATTTCTTGTATTTCCTCTTAATTTAGAATTTTTTCTCCCTCTAGAAATTTGACGAATATTTAAAACTTCTACTTTTTCCGTGTTTTCATGTTTTGTATCTAATTCACCTGGTTTTGTATTTTGAATGTGATGCATTTATATTAAAAACATAACGGTAACTCCTTAAATATGATTTCATAATTGGCCCCAACCCCATTTCTGTAAGAATAAAAGGGAGCTTGAAATAAACTCTCTAAAATTATGGTGTATGTGTGTGTGAGAGAGAGATTACACTATGTCCAAGAAACTTTTCAACTGTAACATATTATAAATGCCTGATTAAGGCTAAATACATACTCTCACCTCTGCCATAGACTATTACTTCTCTGTTAGTATTTCTAGTTTGTTTGTTTGTTTATTTAATGTTACTTTATTTTTTTTGAGTTGGAGTCTTACTCTGTCGCCCAGGCTGGAGTGCAGTGACACGCTCACGGTCATAGCAACCTCAACCTGCTGGGCTCAGGTGATCCTTTCACCTCAGCCTTCCAGGTAGCTAGAACCACAGATGTGCGCTACCATACCTGGCTTATTTTTTGATTTATCATAGAGATGAGGTCTCACCAAGTTGCCAAGGCTGGTCTTGAACCCCCGGGCTCAGGCAATCCTCTCTCTTTAGCCTCCCAAAGTGCTGGGATTATAGGATGAGCCACAGCCCAGTCAGTGTTTTTTAAAAATTAAAAATAATGTGAATTGGGAAAAAGCCTGGCTTTTTACATAGGAACTCCCACCATCCAAAATAGCTCTTCATTAAGTGTGGACTCATTATTAGGTTTCTTTGAACCCTAATTATTCTGGAGGACTTGGTATTTTTCTGATGACACATGATTTTTAAAAAATCTTCATGCATAATATTTTGGGAAAAGCAATATTATTAAATGGATAAATGTGATGACCATATATACAAAAATGGGGGATAGTGTGGAAAGTAAGAATGTAAGCCTCGTGAGGGCAGGAATTTTTGTCTCATCTGTTCACTGCTATTTTTAGTGCCAAGAATACCACCTGGCATCTCAGCCATGTTCAAGAAGTATATAAATTAATGAAAAATACTGAATAAGTGAGTGCTAGAAGCTAAGAGGTCTTGGGACAGTAACTCACATTTTAGAATCTAAAGTGTGTCCCGCTTTTCTGGCAGTGACGACCTACCCACGAGAACAGGCCTCTTGCAAAAGATCTCCTTCATCCCGCTTCAGAAAAGGAGAAGAGGAAACACAGAAGTGCCTGGTGCAGAGCCCCAACTCCTACTTCCTGGATGTGAAATGACCAAGATGCTATAAAATCACCACGATCTTATAGCCATGCACAAACAATAGTTTTGTGTGTTGGTGGCTCCATTGTCTTCTGTCAGCCTACAGGAGGAAAAGCAAGGCTTACAGAATGATGTCTTACTGAAGGAAGCAGCACTAAAAGCATCCCAATCAAGATGAACGGGAAACCATCCCAATAGACACATTTTGGATAAGAAAAACACAATTTCAAGTGCACCCTGAGGATGGCCAAGTTTCCCTGTTTACAGAGTGAAGGAAACAATATATATATGTCTGTGGGAATTATTTGGTTTTACTTATTTGTTTGTTTATGTATTTGCTTATTTATTTGTTTACTGAATCAGCATCGCATTCTGTTGCCCAGGCTGGAGTGCAGTGGCACCATCACGGTTTACCACATCCTCAACTTCCTGGGTTCGAGTGATCCCTCCACCTCAGCCTCCTGAGTAACTGGGACTACAGGCATGTGCCACCATACCCAGCTAACTTTTTTTATTTTTGTGTTAAGATGAGGTCTTATTATGTTACCTATGTTGGTCTCGAACTCCTGGGCTCAAGTGATATCCCACCTCTGCATCCCAAAGTGCTGAGATTACAGGCATGAGCCACCATGCCTGGTTGGTTTCTTTTTTTTAAATGGTCTTCTGTCAAGGAATGGAATTTATGAAAAAGTAGAAGCAGTAGGGTTAAGGAGGATGAAGTTAGCATAGAAATACTGAAGAGAATATATGAACTAGAATTGAATATTTATGTGTAAAAAACAAATGTATCCATGGAGACTCTGTCTCAAGAATGGTTGTAATTTGGGCTGGAGAGAACCTTAAAATCACCCAGCTATCCTTTTTGTGCTTCAGAACAGGAAGCTTGGCATCAGAGATGAAGTGAGCCTAAGTGCCCATAGCAGGTGAGGGTGGAGCTGGCTCTAGTGCTAAAGTCTCACAATGCCCAGTCAGGGCTACTTCCATTCAATGAACATGCAAAGCGGAGTCCTTAAATGACAATTAGTGAAATGTAAAATATACTCTAATGAAAAGTGCTAGTGGTGAAAAGCACAGAAAAACACAAGCAAAAGATCTGTAAAACCGGATTCCAATTTTAGGAAATATCAGATAGTAAAGAGTAATTAACAACATGAAAAGAGAATAATCAAAGATAAAAGTTACAACTGACCAAAGTAAGAGGTTCATTAGCTTTTGGCATATTGTAAAATCCCATTTGGCTAAATCAAATTACTAAAGGAGTACAGATTTTCTGTTTTTCAAATGCAATTCCAACTCTACCTTCCAGGTTGTTTTTCATATTATCTCACTGATTCATTACAAAACATTACAAAAGCTTTTCTTCTTACCCAGGACCAATTTTCCCCCGGTGGTGGGGGTAGGGGTGGGTGGGGTGGGCTGGAATTCTCTTTGGGATGGTGCCATTATGCTAGGAGAACTGCATAGTGTTTTTATGCATACATTAGGTGGTTCATTCCAATCACACACTCATCAAACATTTACTGGACACCTGCTATGTGCAGGTACTGTGTAAGGTTCTGGGGCTGTCAAGATTAGCCAACTGTCCTTGTAAACCAGTAATGGTAACACATAATGGGATGTGTGATAAGAGATTGAAAAAGAGGAACTAACACTGTCTAAGAAGTAAGATAGGGCTCCACCGAGGAGGTGATGACAGAGCTGAATCTACAGGGAATGAGAATGGCAGTTTTTAGGTAGGCATGAAGGAGCAAGGACCCCACCTGGCAGGCAGAGTGGATGGCTTGTCCAAACCCATGGCTGGGGCAGAGTGTGGTTGGAAGGGTCGTTTACCTGGATTTGAATGTCCTTGGAATTGATCACATCCACAATGCCTACCACGTGGTCAAACACCAGGCCAAACTTCTTACAGTTGTCTAGGGGAAAAAAAATAAAAAACCAACCCCACTAAATACACATAGCTTGTTTATATAAAGCAATGCATCACAATAACTACAGAGTCATACTTCTGCCCTACCAATTGTAATGGAGTTGACTTTCCCTTTTATTTGCAGAGTTGATTTTTCACATTTGAAAATGTAAGCCACTTGTTTCAGCTCAGTCTCTGAAATCACAAGGTCATTCCTATCCTCTTGGTACTCCTAAAATTAAAATGAACACAAATATTAAATATAAGGATATATACACTGAATTCATGGCACACTGAAATTACTATGGAGTTCAGCAAGAATGATAGCTTGGCAACACGTCCTTTCAGAACCATCTCCTTAACAGACGGAACCACAGGTCTCACCCTGTCATTGCAACAATGGGAGTGAATGGAACCATTGCTTGGAAGCAGGATGGTGGGCTGATGTCCCTTTGTAAACATCAAGTATCAAGTACCCTGGCTAGCAGGTGGGGGCTAGAGCAGGGATGTGAGAGTTTTCTGTTGAACTCTTGATACTGAATCTGGACTTGAAGCTGTAGCAAAATCTTCTGTGTCAAACAGAAGCTGGGCAAATGGACTGGTGATGAGCCACAGCAGTGGTCTAAGTCCACATGGTCTTGGTTTTCAAGCCAAGACAACCTTTCCAGGGACTTTGGTCCTTAATCTTTAGGGAAGCCCTCTGGATTGGCAGGAGACAGCTTTCATTCCCATTCAAAGTGTCTATGTCCTGCTCACACACTCAGCCCTGACGGTGGGAGTGGCAGCAGCAGTCGGGGACGGTTATATCAGTTCCTCCATCGGTGGGACTGAATGAAACACTCCACAGCAGGTCAGAATGGAACACAGACTCCCCAGGTTTACATGCTAATGGTTTCTCTTGCTGCCTTGTTGAAAGCTCATAGAAAGAGCAGTCAAATTCATAGAGATAGAAAGTAGAATGGTAAATTTCAGGGCTGAGGGGAAAGAGGAACAGGGAGTTATTGTTTAATGGTATCGAGTTTTAGTTCTGCGAGATGAAGAGTTATGTAGCAGGGTGGTGGTGATGGTTGCACAACAGTGTGATTGGACTTAATGCCACTGAATGGTACACTTAAACATGGTTAATGGTCACATTTTTTTTTTTTTTTTTCATTAATCAGTAGTTTTTATTATGGTTTTGTGGGGTACAGTTAAGGGTAGGTGTACAATGACGTTTCATTCAGGCACATTTTTAACTGATATTTTACCACCATTAAAAAATAAATTTAAGAAGTTGAAGAAGAGAATGCATGAAAATTAATGAAAAGAAAGTTTATAAAAGCATTCAGAAACACCTGGTTTCTATTCTAGCCAGTGGTTTTTGCCTCTGTCACATCACTTGGGTGATTAATGGATATAAACATTTAGTTAGATAGAAGGACTAAGTTCTTCTTTTTTTTTTTTTTTAATTTGAGTTGGAGTCTCTGTCACTCAGACTGGAGTGCAGTGGCCACTCCCGGCCACCACAGCCTCACCTGCAGGGCTCCAGCGATCCTTCCGCCTCAGCCTTCCAAGTAGCTGGAACTACAGGCACGCGCTACCACGCCTGGCTAATTTTTTTGATTTATTGTAGAGATGAGGTCTCGCCAAGTTGCCCAGGCGGGTCTTGAACCCGCGGGCTCAGGCAATCCGCTCACCTCGGCCTCCCAAAGCGCTGGGATTACAGGTTGAGCCACCGAGCCTGGCTTTTTTTTTTTTTTTTTTTGAGTAGGAGTCTCTGTCACCCAGGCTGGAGTACATTGTCATCCTCATGGTCACTGCAGCCTCCACTTGCTGGGCTCAGGTGATACTTCTGCCTCAGCCCTCCAAGTAGCTGGAAGTACAGGCATGTGCCACTATGTCTGGCTAATTTTTCTTGATTTATTGTAGAGACGAGATCAGGCAATCCTCTTGCCCCTGCCTCCCAAAGTGCTGGGATTACAGGCATGAGCCACCATGCCCAGCTAGGAATAAGTTCTAATGTTCAACAGCAGAGTAGGGTGACTATAGCTAACAACAATGTATTGTATATTTCAAAATAGCTAGAAGAGAGGATTTGAAATGTTCCCAACACATAGGAAGGATAAATACATGAGATGATGATGCCCTAAGTACTTGGTCTTGATTATTATACATTCTATGCATGTAACGAAACATTGCGTGTATCTCATAAATATATACAAATATTATGTACCAATAAAAACATTTAAAAAAGATATCTTTAAGAGCTTGATAGGCCAGGCACGGTGGCTCACGCCTATGATTTTAGCACTTTGGGAAGCTGAGGTGAGAGGATTGTCTGAGCTCATGGGTTCAAGATCAGCCTGGGAAACTTGGTGACACCTCATCTCTACAATAATCAAAAAGTTAGCTGGGGATGGTGGCGCATACCTGTAGTTCCAGCTACTTGGAAAGCTAAGGTGGAAGAATTGCCTGAGCTCAGCAGATCGAGGCTGCAGTGGCCATGAGTGTAGCACTGCACTCCAGCCTGGGTGACAGAGTGAGACTCCAACTCAAAAAAAAAAAGAACTTGGTAGATGGTTTAGCTGTCAGTCCTTCTGTTGAAGTGTGCCAGGAATTAAAGAGCTTCACTTACCACTCTCCATTTCTTTCCTTCCAAGTCAAGCACAGGAACGTGCTTTTGGGGAGAATGAGATTTGGGAGATGTGGGACTTGGAGTGTGGCTTTTGGTGGGAGATTGAGTTTGCCCTCCTTGAGCCCGCAGGCTGGGATTCTTATATGTCTTCTGGTCATCTGTGACATGCCGGAGCCCTAGGAGGGTAACACACATGGACACATTTCTTTATATGTTATACAAAGAGAATTGTCCCTAACTTGTTAGACCAGCATCATATATAGAGCACAAGAACTTTTGGTAATGCCATTTTCTAAATAGTCTGGTGTTTTCTTAAGGTTAGGAGCAGAGACTGAGTCCTGTACATATTTAGAGTTGACGGAAGCACTGCATTTTTTAATTTGAGGAAGCACTTTTTTCAGGACATAAAATGGTGGATAAAAATTTTGCAAAGAACAAACCATCTCACCAAAAGGGATCACATGTCTTATTTCTCCTTTTACGGTGAAATTATTCTCCAGACATAGCCTAAAAGGCCAGGGCATTCCAGTGAGTATATAACAGAATATGAATCGACTACATTAGTTCATTCCTTTACTTTGCAAATAAGCTTCAGAGGGGATAATGGAGCTAGCTGAAGCCAGAAAAAAATTTAGAATTTTGGATTCTTAGTTCCTAGATCAGTATAGAGGAATACAATTCTTTGATGAGCCTGTACACTGCTTCAAGACAGAGGTGCTATTGTTTGCCATTTTTATTTCACTTGATCTTGATGTCTTGGTTGCAGAGAATGATGTGGAAGCAAACTAGGGGCTGAAGCAATGATGCAGCACAGTGGTCCATTTAGAACCCAGGGTTCCTGAGTTCTGTGAGTTGGTGCAATGGCCCCCTTAGCTTAAATGCCTGGATGTGTAGAACACTGTAGGCTCCCACATTCCTGGCACCAGCCCCCTCTCCCTGTGTGCTGCAGACAGTGATGGAATGACATCCCCATGGGGCGGGGTGGGGGTGCAGGGAATGGGGGTTCTGTGTGCCTGGAGCCAGAGGGAAATGAGGGCAGCTTCAACGTCTTGTTTTCTCACCTCTCGTAATCGCTTCTCCCTGGTTAAGCTGGGCAAATAAAGCTGAGCGTGAAGGGGAGGACTCCTCCTTTCTGCCTTCATTCTCAAAAAGTGGAGGTGGCCCTGGAGGAGGAGGAGGAGGAGGAGGAGGAAGGCCAGGCCCAGAGGAGAGGACAGAAAACACCGATGCTGCGGATGCTACGGGACCCTGTGAAGACAGAAGACATTGAGACTGTGGCTCCTGCTGGGATTCTCCCTGAGAGACTCAGAGCTTACTGCCAATGAGGGAGGGGTTCAAGGCTCACCAAAGGCTCCCAGGGGGCACAACTGAACCTCATGGGCCTGTTGGGGAGGACTTGAACCAAGGAGGAGTCTGCCTTAGGACTCATAAACTTGGGACTCAGCAGTATGGCCCTGTCAGCAGAATCTGCATGACCAGGAGCCCTGCTGCCAACTCAGAGGCAAACAAAGTCATACTCACAAGTCCATGTCCAAGGCTCAGGACATGAATGACACTGGGCCTTGGCCAATTTAGAATCATAAGAAAAAAATGGTCCATTTGATGAGAGGATTAACTCTTTTGAGACACTAGAAACCACAACCACCAATGAGAGAGAGAGAGATAAAAGTATTAAATGGCTATTAAATGTTTCTGAAGCTTTTTGAGCAGCGAAAGAGACACTGAAACTCTCTGGACCTCTTTTTCCAAATGTGTATGCCTCAAACTGACCCCAAACAAGGACCATATGTGACCTGGATGCTTGTCAAACCTGAAGGCAATGAGGGTCTGGGAACCATCTGATATTTCATCAAATGCTGGTTGTTAGTGGACCAATTGAATATCAGCTCCTTCCTGACCAAGAGCTACTATGCTTAGCCTTATTTTCTCTGCCATGTGAAGTACAACCTTTGTTTTCTATATGAAGGTTAATAAATTCAAATGGCAGTAAAAGGTGATAGACAAAAGAGGGATTAGTTTTAACATTTTGAAAAGATTGACAATATTCTCCCAGAGCTTAAAACTGGTAGGAGAGAAACACACACAGGCCAGGTGTGGTGACTCATGCTTGTAATTCCAGCATTTTGGGAGGCCGAGGTAAGAGGACTGCCTGAGACCAGGAATTCAAGATCAGCCTGGGCAACACGGCAAGACCTTGCCTCTACAATAAATAAAAAAATTAGCTAGCCATGGTGGCATGCACCTGTAGTTCCAGCTATTCAGGAGGCTGAGGTGGAGGGATTATCTGAGCCCAGCAGGATGAGGCTGTAGTGAGCCATGAGCATACCACTGCACTCCAGGCTGGGAGACAGAGTGAGATTCCCACAAAAAGAAAGAAAGAAAGAAAGAAACAAACACATGTACAATGAACTTGAGTTATAGACCATTTTAATTTTAAACCCTCTAGTAGAACTGTTTACCTATGATAAAGAATTATAAACAAATTCAATAGTCAGGAATCTTAAGAATTTGAAAATGATGGAAATGTGGTTAAGGCTCGTGTATGTTCAATATCAAATACAAAAGGTAAAACATTATATAAGAGGTAAATATTAATGAAAACAGCATATCCTTATCAGCATTAACAACTCAAGATTATGACATATCCAAATCAAGAAGACTTAATCTGTAGTAGTTGTAGCATTTTTCAGTTAAAAACAAAAACAAGCGCTTTTCAAAGTACTTATACATAATTCCTAATGAATGTAGAATAAAAGATTATTCTTTTATTCAGAACGCATGTCTTAAAAGCTCAGCAGGCTGGAGGGCTCATCTTCTGAAGATAAAATTTAGAATGGTTTTTGTTTATAAGGAAGACCAGCCTGATCCCATCAGGCTTCTTGAGTTGAGGAGAAAATGGTTTCACAGTTCCTGAGACTGACCAATCTCTCCCCCCAACCCAAGCATCTTAACTGTTTTCTATTATGTTACGGGGATGAAATTTGAGAATTCGCTCTGAATCATAAGCGCATATAAGATAAGCTTTGCACGTCAAACAATATTCCAGTCCTCAGTTACAGACACTGAGAACCATGAAGTATTATTTTTACTCATAACTCATATCAGTGAAGAATGGACCCCTCCCCCAACCTCTGAGACACTGTAGCATTTTATGGAAAGGGGAGAAGATGCGGACTTCTCAGTCTCAGAATGATTTAGATGGTTCCTTTGCTCTCAGAATGCAGAGACTCTCTTAGAGTCATTAAAGGACACTGAAACTAATACACTGCATGTTCAACTTTTGGGAACTTTGATACATTTAGATGGCTGGCTCAGGAGCCCCAGACAAAGGATTTACGGCGGCAAATGTTGAAAATAAAAGCCAAAAAATAAGAGAACCCAGAACCAGTTGAAACTCTGCCTTAGACTTAGCCTTTGTACATCCTGGCTCATTCCTGCATTGGCCTCAGAGAGAGCACAATACCCGGCTCTTGTTTCCAAGGTTACTTTTCAATTAGCATTCAGGGGCTTTACTGTACAGTGGACTCCAAATCAGACTGATTAGACATTCCCTAAACTGGATCTCCGTGGGCTGCCCCGTGCAGAGTCACTTATCTTTGCTTCTTTCTCCTCTTCTCTTTCTGAAGGTTGTTATGGCACGTGACACCAGAGCTTTCTGCATTCTCCTATGTGCCTGGCCAAGAGTGGCCGTTACACCAACAGGAATCACAGCCTGACACCAAGTCTTTGGGCGCCCCAATAAGGAACAGAGGGGAGATGGTCGGAAAAGGGAAGGAAGTCAAGAATTGTGGGAAGACGAGTATGTGCCAGGCTCTGATCATTTTCACTCTTTCAACAGATATCTTATGCTCAGCATATGACAGGCTCTGTGCCCCGGCTTCCCAAACTTGCCTGAACATTAGAAGTATCTGGGGATCTGTTAAAAATTCCAAGGCCCAGGCTGTGTTACAGAAACACTCTTGGGGGTGGCAGGTGGGGGAATATAGGCATTTATATTTTTTGATGCTCCCTAGAATCCCTGAGGTGATTCTACTATGCAGACAAGTTTGGGAACAACCACACTTTTTTAAGTGCTGAGATTAATCTTAACACAACAATATTACTAGGACTAGACTGAAATCCCTCTTTAACAGAAAAAAAAAAGCAGGACATCAGAAAAGCTGTTTAAATTCAATATTAAATGGTCAGTCAATGGTAGGCACATATTCGATCACATACTGCTTGATTCTAAAGCCTTCTTCAGGAAAATCCTTTATGTTAACATCTGGACTTAAAAAATAAAATTCATTAGTTGGGTCGGGCACAGTGGCTCACGACTGTAATCTCAGTACGTTGCAAGGCCAAGACAGGAGGATCGCTTGAGGCCACGACTTTGAGACAAGCATGGGCAATATAGCAAGACCCTTTCTCTACAGAACATAAAAACGAAACAAAACTAGGCGTGGTGGCTCATACCTATAGCCTCAATTACTCAGGAGGCTGAGGTGGAAAGATTGCTTGAGCTTAGGAGTTTGAGGTTACAGCCTGGGTGACAGAGTGAGATGCCATCTCTTAAAAATACATAAAACAGTCTGTAGTCAAATGAAAGAACTAAAAGTATGACTGCCTTGACACATATGTAGTGTTGCTCTTGGACCTCAATATATATGATTGAATCATTGTGAGCAATAATCTGGCTCAGTTGCTGCCTGTATCACTCCTTGCTCCATCCTAACGCCTTAGCACCCAAATGAGCTCCCACGGTGACTCTGGAACCAGTTTTGATCCTGGGGAGGTAAGATATCTTGGGCTTTGACAATGGCAACTCAGTGTCAAATCACCCTTGATGCTGGCTTTGTTGTGACTCTATGCTCTGGTTCTAGACACTGGCCTCTTGCCTTGTTCATTTTTCCCGAGGATCCACTGGTTCCAGTAATGAGGCACTTGTACCCAGATCTTGGTTTTCTATCTAGTGCTGGCATGGTCAAAACCCCTCTCCTGGGGACAAAAGATTAAAGGGCACTACGCCTCAGTGTGATTTCCTTTTAAAGATAGACTCTCATGACAGAGGTAACACGCCAGGCTCTCTACATGAGATGAGAAGTAGATCAGATCAAGGCCTGCAGCCTTCAGGTGATCTACTATTTTGTGGTCCCAGTGTGCACCTGTGATCTACTATTTTGTGGTCCCAGTGCGCACCTGTGAGAGAAGAGGGAGCACTCATGGAGGGAAGATTTTACATCCTTTACACTAGGGATATTGAAGGATAGTTCCCAGTTGGGCATAGTTGTCTGGGAGTGTCGAGAACAAGGGCTGGAAAGAGCCTCTGAACTCAGAGTACCTGCCCCAGGATCCCGAGAGGGTCCCATATATGACAGGGTTCTTTCTCTTCTCTACTCTTTACCATTTCTTGAGAAACTGCAGCATCAGCCCACAGGCTGCATTCATCCCTCCAAACAGAGGATGGATCTGCATACAGCATTAAACAAAGGTATCTAATAAGAGAAGTTGTTTCCTAGCAAATTATTTGATTATTTCTGATCTTTCTCAAAAGAAAGCTTTTCTTTCTCTCTCTCTCTCTTTTTTTGAGTTAGAGTCTGGAGTGGCACACTCACGGCCACTCCAGCATTGACCTGCTGGGCTCCGGCGGTTCTTCCGCCTCAGCCTTCCAAGTAGCCAGAACTACAGGCATGAGCTACTACATCTGGCTAATTTTTGATTTATCATAGAGATGAGGTCTCACCAAGTTGTCTGGGCTGGTCTTGAACCCGTGGGCTCAGGCAATCCACTTGCCTAGGCCTCCCAAAATGCTGGGATTACAGGCTGAGCCATGGAGCCCAGCTCAGAAGGCTTTTCTTAATAATACATTCTTTTACTGTGTAGTTTATCCTGACAATTACTTTCATTTTATTTCTACAGTGTAGGATCACACATCTAACAGCTTAAGACCTATAGAATTATGATGTTGTGTGACTTGTACAAGATCACATAGACAGGAAAGTGAAGTTGAGAACTGAATGGAGGTATCCTGCCATAGGAAAACAAAGAGACAGATCTAACCTTAGTTAAGGGACAGCGACTCCCACACAAATACTTTTTTAAAAAACGACTTTGTTGGCCAGGTGCGGTGGCTCATGCCTATCATTCCAGCACTTTAGGAGGCCAAGGTGAGAGGACTGCCTGAGTCCACAGGTTTGAGACAGCCCGGGCAACTTGGCGAGACCTCATCCCTGCAATAAATTTAAAAAAACATAGCCGGACATGGTGGT